GGAGGGGAGGGCAGCCCAGGCGCCCCTGGCCTGCCCGAGCCCCTCCGCGGCTTTGCTCTGCGTCTTCCTGGTCTGCAGACCAGGGAGACGCAGAGAAAGCCCCAGAGTACACGGGCGGCAGGACCGCGAGGTCCCGCAGTCCGTGTACTCTGGGGAAGCCCCGTTCGTAACTGCGGATCCGACGTAAGTCGGATCCGCGTAAGTCGGGGACTGCCTGTATTTGTGGTACCTTTATATACTTTCATATCTATACATTTAATGTTGCATACTAATCACAAAATCTTTAATAAGTAGAAACAATAGAGTTTCACCTTTATGCTTTTATCTCTTGGATACTATTAACTCTTAAAAACAGGTTTGAATACCTGGGATGCACATTTGAGGCACTTCTTTGCTGTAGGAGGTGGTTTTGGGATCTCTGAAAGCAGTGCGAGAAACAGCCACTACAGACTGGTGTGTGTTAGGACAATGTCTTGTTACTGCTACTATATCTTCATCAACTTGATCCACATATACCTACAAAATACATAAGTCAACACATTCTTATTCTGAAAATAAATGTAACTGAGTGAAACAATTACACTTCAATTTCTTGCCTGAATGAAGCCTTTCGCTCCCAACTCTTGGTGCAGCCTGTTCATGGCTAGCCTTCCTGCTATAATTCCAGTTTGGAAATTAACCTCACCAGGAGTAGAGGTTGTCGCAGTTGGATTCCATTTGGCATAAAACCTCTCTTCGGAGACTACAGAAATCTGCAAATAATTAAACTTTAGCCATACATAAACTATTCTGAAAAATAACTAGAAATCTCTCTCTCTCCTCCTCCCTCCTCTTCTTCTATCAGTTCATTTTCCACAGATACAGTGAAATAGCTAAGAAGCTATCTCTTTGAAATTTTAAATGAGTAAATCCCATAATTTATTGTATAAACTTTAATATTTGTAATATTGGTATTCTAGTATTATAATAGCGATTAATTTTTTGTAAAAAAGTAAGCCAACCGCAGTTTTAAAGAGGAGACACAGACCTGGTGGGGTACTAACTCATCATAGCCTTTGGTGCTTCCTGTAGCACAGCAGGCCATGGACACGATCATTGAGCTGGGAAGAGCATCATACACAGATCGGTGCTATTTGTAAGAATTAAAAAAAAAAAAAAGAGTAAAATTAACCTAGTCTATCATCTTTTTATTTCCTTCCAAACACAAGAAATTCAAATACTTATTTTACAGAAGAACTCACTGTTTATTGGATGTGCTTATCGCACGAATCACAGATTAAAACTTTTGTAAGCTTTTATTTAAAATCATCACATGAAGTTTAAAAGAGCAGAGCTCCTAACAATGTCATCCCAGTGCCCAATCTTCCTCTGATCCTCCCAGTATTACCCATTCTGTACATCCCAGGATCAGATTAAGAGAACAGGTGAAGAGGAAACCTTTACAAAGTTTATAATAGGTGGACATGCAAGAGTCAAACCAGAATGTATTTACTAGATTTTTATGCTTCTATCCCCAAAGGAACAGGTCAAAAGATTGTGGGAAACACCGTACAATTCCACTTCATACAACTTTTTAACTAGTCATGTCTTTCCAAAACATCATTCAAAAGTAATTCCTGATTTATAACCTTTATGAATTGACATGACAATCACACTACCAAAAAAAAATTGTTTCCATGTTAAATACTCTAACAAATCTAAAATAACTGAAGAGCTTACCTGAATAAGACATTCATTATCATGTGTAACATCCATAAAAAGTGCATGTGCAATAGCTGGCATTAATGGTCTCAAACGAGGCTGAACAAAAGACCCAACCGGTTCGCCTCCAAAACGGTAAACTAATCTTCCCTCTTCATGACTGTTATACGCACTCATTGCCTCTACGGAACAAAACTTGTGTGAGTGTTTACAGGAGACTTATTGACAAAACTAAAGGATATCCAATAGGAAGGCTACAATAAATGCCTTCATATTTGGCATACTAAATAATCAAAGGTATTACTTAATACTAAAAGAATATTAAACTTTAATTATAGGTAGAGTGTCCACAATTTGAGTGCATCCACCATGTAATGTGTCATGGTGTGTTAGGGTAAAAAAAGGAAAAACATTTAAAAAAAAAAAAAGAAAAGAAAAGAGTATCCCCTTTCAAAGGTCCATCAATTAATTAAAAGAAAAAGAAAAACTAGAACCAATCAGGAAGAATTGTGGGAAAGCTATGCCACAAATACTGCTATTCCTCCAGATTGCGATATACATTACAGTTCCTTTTTGACTTCTTACAACACCTAGGATGCATATCTCAGTTTATGACACAATACCATATTTAAGTAAAGAGAAAATACCATATAACATTAAATGCCTCTGAGCACGTGTTAAATATATGAAATATAACAAGTTGCACAAGTCCAACATCTGACTTTTTTTCCCATACATGGCACACCATACATGCAGCATCAGAGGAGTGATGGGGAACAACACACATAGCAAGCCTACCTCTTATTAAGGAGCTAATGCCCAATCTAGTCACAAAGATATTGTCCAACTCCTCACTTCCTGTGAACAGCTCAGCCACTACATACAAATCAGCCCGCAGTTTTCTTGCTGTGTCCAGCATATACTGCAAAAAGCACAGCCAAGGAAGACACAGAAAAGGGAAAGGCAGAACAGAAAAAAAGAAAGAATACAAAGCTAGGCACGGATTGGGCAGCAAGGTAATTCCATGCAGCATACACAAAATGGAAAGCCAAAACATGAAGAAACCAAACAAGTTCAATTATGCAAAAGTAACCAAAAAGCCAATTAGGAATAGAAAGATAATAGATAGAGGAATTAAAAGAAAAAGAACAAAAGAGGTTTGAATTTGCAAAGGGCAGAGATATAAAAATAAACAAACCAAACCAAAGTTAGTTTCACATTAAAAACTTTGAACCACATATAGCAATCCTAAATAAAACTTTCAGGCATCTATACCTCTAATAAGACTGGTAATTCCCAAGCGGTTGACAAAGACATTGTCAATGTGCTCACTGCCCGTGAAGAGTTCAGCTATCACATAAAGATTCGGTCTGACTGACCTGGCTGCTGCTAGCATTTCCTATAGATGATAAACTTTTTAATGATCTTCATTAAAAACAAACCCTTGAAACCTAAGCATATACCATAACATGATGTATGGTAACCAAACATAGTTGAGTTCTTAAAAAAAAAATTGTTCAAGAAAACAAAAATTTCGATAAATGAGTAGTACTTATTGTAAAAGTTAGACCCTGATTGTGTGCTTTAAACAATTACAGGCAGTCCCCGACTTACGCGGATCCGACTTATGTTGGATCTGCAGTTACGAACGCGGCTTTTCTCGCCCCGGAAGACATGGACTGCGGGACCTCGTGGTCCCGCCACCTGTGTACTCCGGGGCGAGAAAAGCTGCTCCGCGTCTCCCTGGTCTGCTTGGAGGGGGCGCTAGCTTCGCGTCTCCCTGGTCTGCTGGGGGGAAGCAGCTAATGCGGGGTTGCCTCACCCCGTTTGTAAGCAGGGATCCGATGCAAGTCGGATCCATGTAACCCGGGGACTGCCTGTATCTGATGATAGTTCTAAAAAGCCACTTCGCTCCGTGTCTCCCAGGTCAGCAGACCAGGGAGACGGAGCAAAGCCATGGAGGACTTGGGCATCCCCACCCCCGTCTCCCTGGTCTGCTGGGGAGGGGGTGCAGCTAGTGCCCCCCCCAGCAGACCAGGCTTTTCTTGCCTACCCCTGGGGTAGAGCAGCT